CTACTATAATTATGATAAGGAAACCCCCAAGAATAGTGTTGGAAGTTGTTTAGGCCCGACATGAGGTCTGCTTCTTTCATACCAGGACTCCAGTGCAGAACAGCCGCCACAACGTAGCCCGTGCCCACTTCAACATGCGATACAGCCAGTGCTAATGAAAGCGACTGCATTTGGACTTCCGTGTACATTGCTGTCATAGCGGCCTACACATTACGCAACTGCACACTCTATTCTCCGAAAAGCCCCACAAGCCGAAACGCCCAAGCCGCAGACACTCTACCAGTATCAACCATAAAGCCCCCGAAACCCAAATCTAAAGCCTGACTCTCAAAACGATCCCCGGCCAAAAAGAAACCCAGCCCCTAAACCAAAACCTCGCGACACCCTCAAGCCATTACTTTTTGACGTTGGTGCTCAAATCGCTTTCACCAGGTTTTGGGGCACATTCATTATGCCTTCCGTAGGCAGGGAGCATGGGAGAGTACTCGCAAAGTCTTGCTAGGTGTTCATACCCTGAAGATAGAGCTGAAAAAAGCCCGAACTCCCAAATCACAGGCAGCCAGTAGCCGAAAACTTTGAAGGCCCTAGACCCTAAACAGAAAGCCCTGAAACCCTAAGCCCTAAACCCTTAAACCCTAAACCCCAAAACCCTATTTGAACCGAGACCATTCCAGCCCTAAACCCTAAACCGTAGGCAGCAAGTGGCCGGAAACTTTGACTGGGACTTGAAGCAACCAGGGAGAAAAGAGTATAGACTTTATTCCATAATGCTTCCCTTAAGGAACAGGTCCCCAAAAAAGCATTCAAGTATGGTACTCCCAAGCCCAGTTGAAGACTTCCAAGCCTACACCCCAAACCCTAAAAACCCAAGACAGCGTCGCGCCTGGCGTCCGTGGCCGCTTCGGCGCGCGCCCCGCTTCGCTCGCTGCGAACGGAAGCGCTGCGCTGCATGGGGAGAACCTTCGGTTCGGTGGCTTGTAGGTTTTTGGTGTTAGGGTTTAGGGTTTAGGGCTTAGAGTTTAAAGGATTTCAGGCTGAGAGGCTCTGGAAAAAGAGGGTTTAGGTTGATGGCTTATGATATTGGGGCTAGAAATAGACAGGCTTCATTACGGTATCCAGCTTACGGGTTTAGGGTTGGGATGCAGACCTGGGTTTAAAGGTGTGGGGTTAAGGGTTTATCGTGCCCATAATGTAACTAATGTAGGGGCCTGAACAACTAATTAGAATAGGGTTTAGGGGTATCAGTATACTTTTTTATTGTACTGGACCCTAAACCCAAACCCCTAAACCCTAAACCGGAACCCCCAAAATAGTGTAGGTAATTATTCAGGCCCCGATAATACATAGCAGGTCTCCTACCCGGCGCCCGGGGCCAGCACTGGACGTGCGGAATCGCAGCTCCTCTTCGGCTCTGTTCAGCAACGGTGTGGGTCGTAGGGTTTAGGGTTTAGGGTTTGGGATTTCAGGCTTTGGGTTTAGGTTTAGGGTTTAGGGTTTAGGGTTTAAGGCGTTCAGACTTTAGGGGGTTCAGGGGTCTCGGGAACCGCGTCGGTATGGTAGGATTTAGGGCTTAGGGTTTAGGAGGTAGATACCCGGAAATCTACTCGTCAAGTGACAGGACCAATTTTTCCTTACTCAGCGTCATGTGAAGATGCTTGCGCTCAACTGGATGCCGCAGTTTTGCGCCGAGTCGTCTCATTTTGTCCAGTGTCCTCTGCAGCACTCTCCTGTAGTTCATGCTCGTTTCAATTCCAGAAAGTCTTGGTTCATATCCCAGAGGGTCCATATACACTACTATTATGGAATTAAGTCCCAAAAGAGAATCCTTATTATGGTTTTGGGGACCTAATTCCATAATAGTAGTATATATGGACCCTCTTGGTACGTTGCTGGACATGGCCACCACGGCGCCATCCCTGCAGACCGTGTCCTGGGCACCTGCGGGAGGACTTGGCGACCCTCGTGCTTTTGCATTTAGGGCTTAGGTCTTAGGGTTTAGGGTTTCGGGTTTAGAGTTTAGGGTTTAGGTTTAGGGTTGAAGGTTCCACCGGACCGTGCAGGGGCAGTGTTCATGTAAGAGTGGAATCTTTAAGGGAACAACAAGTCGACTTCAATTCAACCCCACCATCTACACTGCAAGCCCTAAACAAAGCTTTGGTGGCTCAGGGCTCCTGAATGAGAAGAAGAAGCCTGTTTGAGAGTGCTGCCTGGAGAAGGGTTTGGGGTTTAGGGTTTAGGGCTTCGGGTTTAGGGTTTAGGGTTTAGGAAAACCTTCCGTAGTCTAGGGTTCAGGAGTTAATACGGTTCGATTACTGCTTCAGCTGCTGAAAGTGCCTGGTCGAGAGAGGAGTTGCATATAACTAGGGGCGCCTTATGTAGGGGTCCTCCTAATGACACTCCTTCGAGTGTGAATTTCTAATATCAGGTTGTGGGTGGATAGAAGTGATACACACCGTACTTCGCATGAAAGAAGGAAGTAGAGGAATTTAGTGTCATTCCTAGCTTTGAAGACCACGGTTCCGCAAAACCTGAAGAAAGCGAAAGCAACTGCATATGACTGTACATGGGTTTGTCTCTGTGTGTATGTGTGTCAGATTGAAACACACTATTAACAAGGCTGTCTACAAAACTCTGGGTTAAATACCCCGTCATCCTAAGCCCTAATTCAACCCAAAATCATCGCCGTTAACGGGCCCACCTTCCAATACCCCTTAATTCAGGAATATAACCTTGGGTTTAGGGTTTAGGAATTAATATATAGAGTTTAGGAAGTTTAGGGTAATATCCCTGAAGTAGGAATAGACCGTACGTCATATTCGGGATCCTACGATGAGAAACGGTATATTCCTCAATTAAGGGATA